GACGCAGCGCGGCCACGAGCCCCCCACGCCGCCAGTGGCCAAGAGCAGAGCGCGCAGGGCCCCTGGGGGGTCCGGGGGCGCCAGGCCTGGCAAGGCGGGCCCGGGAGATGAGGCGGGCGCTGCGGGAGGGGGATCGGGGCCTCTCATGCCGCAGACGCAGAAGCTGCGATTGGGGGTGGTGTGGGCGCCTGGAGCTGCCACCTTACAGCCGATTGGCCCGGGACGCGGTGACGCCACCGGGGCCCCCAGAACCGCCCCCTCCCACCACCACCAGTGCTATCCAGGGCACCTCCCTGCCCAAGAAGGCCCAGGGCACGCGCAACAATCCACAGGACACCGCCAGTATCCTAGATTGGCCAGGATAGGCAGGTCATTGAGTGAAGGAACATTTGGGCTCCCATCTGGCACTGGCCAGGAAGAGAGGTGGACAGTGCCCCTGCCCTCCTGGGAAAAATGTCCAGTAGGGATGGTGGACAATGAGCCAATTAAACCAGTTGATGAAATAATTCTGGATAGAAACTGCCTGCTATGGAAACATACCATGGTGGGAAGTACCATGATGGTAGTGGCAAGACAGGATCCCTGGGGGGTGGGTGCCAGCCCACCAGGCCAGGGCAGTCCCACAGGTTCCCCTTCTCTCTTGGCTCACTGTTTGTTCCCTGGGGTTCCTGTTCTTGGCAGTGGACGGAGCTGTTCTATCACTGGAGGGCCCTCCCAATGCAGTGACCATGGTTTTTCATTTTCCATTTTGGCCTCTGTCATCTGGTCCCCAAAAGCCCTCAACCAGACTCTGCCAGAGCATTTCTGGTCTGCTGAACTTTCAGGTCCTTTACAAGTAGGGCCTGCTCCTGGGCACCAAAGAACCACCCTGAGCTGCTTCACCATCGCCCAGTCGATCCCCCTATGCCTGCAACACTTCATTTGGATCTCAAAGACCCACTTTCTCCAGTGTCGCCATCTCCTGTCCTGCTGCCTCTGGGGCCCAGGCTCTGGGGGCAAAGGCTGGTGATTTCCTTTGTGGCAGGTTGCTGTCCACAGCCCAGTGTGGTGAAGCCCAGACAAAGGGCTAGTGCCCCAGCTCCAGGGACTGCGTGGGCTTCAGGAGGCACTCAGCAAAGGTTCACGTGAAGAACACACTTGCGAGCAGGGGTTTTCAGATGTGCTGGAGTAATGCTTGCCTTGACTGGCCTTGTCTCTTCCTTTATACAGAAGGAATATTCATATTATGATTGAATGCACTTGGTAAATAAAAACAAAGAAAGAAACAAAATAAAAACAAAAAATCCCTACCGAGTCCCATCCTGGTATGATTTAAATACATATAATTTCTAAAGTAGTTTTAATGTCATACAAGTGACTCTTAGGTCTACAGCAAGAGAAAACAGAGGTAGCCAAGAAAAGTTCTGCACAGGCCTCTGGGCTCCTGGAGCCTCAGGAAGGCTGGAAGCTGAGCCCTGACCAGCAGGTGTGGTTGCCCTGAGAAGAGCTGCCAGCCCCTCTGGGCCCAGGACCCAGCACACTGGGGAATGTCCCCTCAATCCCCATTCACTTATCTCTGACCAGGGAGGAGGGGACTTGGGTACAGCCCTGGGAAGGGCTCAGTCTGCAGGGTCGTCTTGCAGGATCGTGAGGAAGCGCTCGCCTCCCTCGCAGAGCAGGCTGTGCACCGCACGGCACTGTGCCAGGCAGGGTGGCCCCTGCATGCTCACCAGCGGGAGGAGTTCAGCCATTAGGACCTGATGGGGCGGTGCAGGGCTGAAGTTTTAGGGGGGCCAGTGCTGGGTGGCTGGCCCAGGGATCCCACAGGTGGGCCAACCAGGACAGGCTTTGAGGCCCCCATGCTCCAGCCCTTCCCTCCTGAGGTCCAAGCACTGTGTCCAGCGTGAGCAATGCACTTGGCAGTCCCTTCGCAGCCCACACACAGACCCCAGGGTTCATATGTCCCCATCCTCCTGGTGGGTCCTGGGTGGGTGGAGCAAGTCATGCCCCAATCCTGGGCCCTTCCTTCTCGAGTCTCCAGACCTAGAGTCCTCCCCGTGGCCGACAGCTCCCCTGGGCACCCAGTTGCACACTCCCCAACTTCTACTCCAGAAGTACCTTTTGCAGGTGGATCTGCTGCTCCAGCATGGCCACCCGCAGCCTGAGGGCTGCCAAGGTCTGCAGCTCCTGGGTACTGGAGTAGATAAGTGGTTGGGGGCTCCAGGAAGGGTCCACTCTGCTTCCACAGGGCAGTGAGCCCCAGGGAGACCTTCCCATGGGAGAGGACACCAGCGGCTGTTCCACCATCACTGTGAGGACAAGAAGATGTGGCCTCACGGGGCGGTAGCCACATCCAAGGCCCAGCTGCTTTCATGAGCCAATGCCCGACTCTCCAGGCTCCTCCTTCCCACCCTTCAATTCACCTTGCTTTCAAGAGATACAAAGTTAGGCTTTCAGAACAGCCCACTGTGTGAGGGTGTCAGTGGGCCTTGGGTCAGTGTGGCAGGGAGAATCCTTTGTGGGGTGTGGAATCTCCCTTTGCCTCCTGTACTTCTTTACTGTGCTTATGCATGACTTTTTTGAGACTTTGTTTTTGACAACCGATATATCTTCACTCTTAAAATGTCAAGCAATTGAAAAAGACAAAGGGGAAAAAGAAGCTCTGTTGTCTATCAATAACCACCTCTGGCAATACCTCCCAGTATCTCTCCCTCACTCTCAGATGCTATTTTTTCAACAACTAGATAAATAAGGAAACTGCTCGAAGTGATGCAGTTCTGTTTGTTGGGAGAAGGTGTGGGGTGGGGGAGCTGTCCCAAGGAGGTGAGGAATGCTGGCTGGTCCTACAGGACAACTGGGGAACACAGCACACTTGGGTGGCACAGGAAAGGCCTGCCCACCTCTGGCCCCTGGGCTGCCTGCCTTCCTCAAGGCACCGGCAAGGCTGGCTAAAGTACCCCGAGCCTGGTCCAGACCTCAGCACAGGTGTCGGGGTTGAGGGCAGTGCCTCACCTGCACGCAGTTCCTGCAGCCTGTGGAGACACTGCCCGACCATGGCCTGCAGCCCCTCCAGGGTAAGCAGGCAGCGGTATTCCTGCATCCAGTCAGCAGGGGCTACGCAAGAGTCAGGGAGGTCAGGCTGGGTCACCAAACCCTCCCTGCACCTTGCTTTCCCTACTCCCTCCCGAGACCCATTGCGTGGCCCACTGACCTGCTGAGAGCTCCTCCCTCATGCGTAGTCTCAGCAGCGAGCAGGCATTCCGCAGGCGCCCTACCTCCACCTCCATAGCACTGAGCCCAGAGCTGGGCCAGCATGACTGGACATGGGTCAGGGAAACTCTCCTGTGGCCAGGCCCCTCCCTTCCCACCAAGGACAGTTTCTGGGGAGTGGCTCTGGCCATCCCATGCTGGCCTTTCCTGGGGCTGGCTCCTCAAACCTGCAACCTGCCAGGTTGAGAGCCAGAATGCCCTGCTGCCCCCAGCTTCCCATAAACTCAGTAAGGATACGGCTGTCTGCATTTTTTGGAGAAAGTGGGTTTTGGCGGTGGCAGCAGCAGCATCTGTGGACTCATTAGTGTGTGTAGAATTGAGCTGGGCCCACAAGCTGGGACACCCACGACCCAGAAACAAAAGAGGGACACGGTTATTCCAGCCAGCTGAGAGGTAGGCAAGAGCCAAGGTAGAGGCCACAGTTTGGGTGTGTGGCTCTGCTGAATGCCAGGAGGGGCCTCCAGAGGCCTTGGGAACTGAAGGGACACTGACCGGAAAAAGAGGACAGAACTATGCTGCTCTGGGAAGTGCTAAGAGAGAATTCAAAGAAGAAGGAGAGAGGAACCAGAAGTGTCTGGTAACTACAGCAACTGGTAAGAGATCCAGTGCTTCTTCTGTACTAGGCACAGCATGCACACTCCAAACATGCCATCACACATAACTCTTACACTGCTGTGAACTTTGTACTATTACTGTCATCTCCAGAGGGGAGGCAAACCAGAACTCAGAGACACCAAGTGTCTTGTCAAGTCTCGCAGCTTGTGAGTGGTTGAGCTGGGGGCCTCAAATCTCACTCAGTCTAAGGTGGTCCAAGCTGGGCAGACACTCTTAATGTCTACAGTGACTCCACCCAGCAAAGAAAGCAGAGGAACCTGCCTGAAAGTTCCACCTACACGACCCCAAGCTGGTGATGCTTCCCTGGTCTCCTCTCTGCCCTCACCCAGCCAAAAGACTCAGCCTCACCGGAAGTTCTGGGAAGCCACTTTCCTGAAGGCCACGGGCAGCTGCAGTAGCGTCCTGCCAGAGAAGCCAGTGTTCAGAGTAGCCTCACCCCACTCTGGGGGCTGCAAGTCCTGCTGCCTCCTCAGAGCCCACATGGGGATGAGGCCACTCACCCCCTCTCCCCCGCTGGCCCTATTCTCAGACAAGCTTCCCTGGATGGGGCTTCCAAGAGTGGCCATAGGAACTGGCTCAGCCCAGTACTGCCCTGGCAGAGAGAAGATGCTGTGAGCAGAGCCCAGGCCCTCCAGAGCCCATCTGGAGCCCCTGGCTGGGCATATGAGGGGATAGCCTGGGAGAAAAGGAGAGGACAGGCCCCACCACGTCAAAACTGGCACTATCACAGCCAGCTACTCCATTCTGCCAGCTTCAGGGCATGAGCCTTATGGGGTGGCACCCTAGGACTCCTGTGGCCTACATCCTGCCCTGTCCTCCCTGTCACCCCAAATCCCAGACTCCTGCTGCTGGCCAGGGTCTGAGCAGGTAGACAGTTCCTCCCATGAGGGTCTGGGAAACCTACCCCTTCTCCTTGAGTGTGAAGACTTCTGGGGCCTGAGGAACAGCCGATGGGGTTATTTGTTGGTCCCTGAGGCCAGGTCCAGGTCTGGTGGCTCGGGCTCCTATTCCCACATGGATCCTATCCCTTGGTGACAGAAACCTGTGTTCAGGGTAGCCTTTGACAGGCACTGTGTTCTGGTGGATACCTTTGGTGGGTCTTGTCCCTGATGCATGGCTGCCAGCCTGGCCCGGGGCTCGGGGTGCAGCAGAGGCTGTGGTGCCAGGAGAGGCAGCAATGGACACCGATTTCAGACTGGAGGCTTTGACTCTTTCTCCAGCTTTAGAGATGCTTTTTCGCACCCGTGCAGCCTTCTCCAGTGCCTGTGTCAGAAACTCCAGCTCCTTGAGGTCTTGGGGGCTAGATGGGCATGCTGTAAAAGCCAAGAATCATGCAGAGGAACCGCCCCACTGTCCCCCAAGAAAGGTACCTCACACTGCGTGTCAGAAGACAGTCCAGCGGCAGCACCTGGAGAAGGTGGGTGGCCAAGGTTTACCTGAGGACGGGTCCTCTTTATTAGTTTCTGGCCCGGGAGGTGGCTCTTGAGCAGGGGTCCTGGCTGGTTCCCTGCGAAGACACAGGCAGCCATGGCACGACCTGGAGGCATGGCCCAGGCCCAAACAGACCCCAAGAGGAGGCCTGGCCCCACAGCAGACCCCCAGCCTCAGAGCCCGCAGGGCACTGACAACCGGCAAACTCGGAAGGAGACGGCTGGGCCGGGCCTCCCGGCCCGGGGGGTTTGTGCAAGATTAGGAGGGTCCGAGGGAGGTCCCGGGATCCGCGTACCAGGCCCGCAGCAGCCGCCGAGAGACGCGCAGGCTCTTTTCCAGCTGCCGCTGTCGCTGTGCGCAGGCGTCCAGGGCGCCCTGCAGCTCGGCCACCAACCTGGGGGGAGCACCGGCGGCTCAGCACCTCGACCGCCCCTTCCCGCCCCCAACCACCCGCCACGCGGGCCTCACCGGAGCGAGCAGCCGGCCGGCAGCATGAAGGCCGCGGTGGTGGTGTCCGCAATTTGCCGCCGGCGGAAAGTCCCGCCGCTTCCGGGCTAGAAGACCGCCCCCTTCCGTCCGAGTTACCCAATCCTGGGCCCAGGCCCCACAGCCCCTCCCCTCCCACTGGGGCCCCGCCCCCACCCCACCCCCCAGAGCCGCGGCGGCAGAGGGGATCTCTTGTGATTTGAAGGTTTCAGGTTTGGATAATTGGGTGCATGGTGGCGCCATTCTCGTGCTCCTCCTGCAGGGCACCTGTGACCGCGTGATGGCTGGCTTCATGTCTCAATCTGTCCCAACTGATGGCGCTCTAAAGCAGGCAGCGTTGTCTTGCTGACCCCAAGGACACTAACATGCGGTCAGACACAGGGAAGAGGAAACAGTCTCTGGAGGTGGTGAGGATGACGCGGGAACAGGGACGAGGAAGTGCTCACTTTGGGACCTGCAGGCGAGGTGTTGACATCCGGGGAGGTGTCAGATAGGGACCTGGAGAGGGGGAGACCCTGACCTGTGGAACTTGGAGCAGCAGGCCCGGGTGTGCATGGATAGGGACAGGTGAGCCACGAACAATGAGGGGAGGATGGAGCCAGAGACTAGCCAGAATGGTGGACGAACAGCACAGCAGTGTCACAGAAGCTGCGGGAGGCTGTTCCAGGAGGGAGTGGACCACAGGCCTGGATGGTGTCCTCAGAATCAGGGTACGAGGCCTTCAGTGACATGGGACACCTGGGGGAGGACTGTGGAGACAGACGTTGGCCAGGAGGAAGTGAAGGGGGCAGCAGGGCCCAGTGTAATGACAGATAACAGGAATAAATGATGAATTCAAACCCTGACGGGGCCAAGTCTCAGGTTGTAGCTGGAAGGACAAACCTGAGGGAGATTTGTTTAAAAATGGGATAGGCAGGGCTGACCCCGTGGGGCACTCGGGAGAGTGCTGCACTGGGAGCGCAGCGACACTCCCGCCGTGGGTTCGGATCCTATATAGGAATGGCCGGTGCGCTCACTGGCTGAGCGCGGTGCGAACGACACCACACCAAGGGTTGCGATCCCCTTACCGGTCACGGAAAAGACAAAAACAAAAGGGGGATAGGCAAGTCCATTTGATAGTCATTAGTAGGAAAGTGCCACAGCAGAGGGGATGGAGAACAGAAAGGAGTCAAGGGTGACAGGCAGAGAAGGGAAGGGGGGCTGGGACCCAGGTTGTCCTGGGACTGCGTTTAGGATGGGGCCCCTCCTCTGTCAGCAGCGGGGGAGGCTAATGCATTCCTGGTTCCTGAGATTCTCTGTGAGGTAGGAGGGGAAGGGAAGAGGCTTCAATTGGCACTTAGATGTAGGGAGACCCCACGCCTCAGTCAAGAGGCACTGCAGTGACCTATAAGATTTGGAGAGACTCAGGGAAACCTCACACCACAGTCAGGTGGTACCCCCCCCAAATGATTTCCTCTGGATGCAGCTGGGAGAAGGCAGAGAACTGCATCCATCAGAGTCGGGATGTTGATCAAGAAGACCACGGACAAGGGCCGAGGCAGTTAAGGGAGGCATATCATTCATCTGCACTGTCCTCGTCACATTTAATCCTCACAACACCCCTGTGAGGTAGGTATTATTGCCCCATCTTACAGATGAGGAAACTGAGGCTCACACATGCCCAGGGGCAGAGTCAACAGGACAGATCTACAGTTTCAACGCCTGGGCTCTCCTCATCCCAACCATACCCCAACCAGGGTAGTCCGAATTCTCTCACAGTAGCGAAAAGACAGCTGCCACGGGGACATCCACAAGCATGCAACAAGCACACAGAAAAGCAGCCACTGAGTTAACATCTCCATATCCCTGCAATTCTGGTTCAAGAGCACTTGGGAGACACTTCTGGCCAAGTGGTTCTTTCTTACATTTCGAGAGGAAACAAAAGCATCACAAAAGGGCAAGTGGGTGTTTTGACTGCTGTCTCTGAGGATCTATTCCCACAGGAATCCTGGGGGATCCAGTGATCTATGAAGGGCAAGTCCTACTGATTACTCTGTTCATCTCGGATGTTACAATTGACTTAGAAAATTTTTTTTGACTAACCTCTGAGAAAATTCTTTTTGCATGAAGTGTCAGGATAGCATTGAGGGCTTGGAGTCAGATTTTTTCAGGTGATCCCAAATAGTGTTGGTAATCTCTTGTTTTTTCCTTTTAGATTTAATGCCCTGTATTTTTAATTTTTCTTTTTATCTTAGGAGAGAAAATCTACAAGTATAGACAAGAATGGCCCAGAAATTCAGTGCAAAAAGAGATGTTCACATGGACACCATCTAAAGGGACACAAACCATTCCAGGAGGGACAGATTTATAAAATGAGCTGAGAGTGCCAGAGAAAGGAAGGCTGTGGCCAAGGCATCAGGGCCCCCATGCCTGGCAGTCACACCACAGTTCACGTTGATATGCAAGGACACAGGCTCTCTCACCATGGGACCCACCTCCCAGAAGGGAGTGGATGCCCCACACAGAGGTGGGTGAGGGGATGGGGGTGTGCTCAGAGCTGTCAGCTCCCAGCTGGAGCCCAAACCCAGACAGATGAGGCTCCCCACATCACACATTTTCTAGGCATGAAAGCTGTGGGCTCCTGGCATGAAGCTTAGTGGGGGTTGGGAAGACGAGGACACACATGGGATTAAGCTTCCAGAGACAGCGGGACATGGGAGGTGACAGAGTGGATAGGCTTCCCACAGTGTGGCATGATTGTTTTGAGTCTCAAGTTTCCAAAGAGAAGGATCTCAGCTTTTCATTCTGAAGGCGCACGTGGGATTCCCAGGGAGAGAGAAACTTGGTGCCCTTGAGTAACCCCCTCTACTCTGTGTGACAGCCACCAGGGTCTACACAGCATCCGTGTGCAGTGCCCCCACCCGGGCTAGCGCAACAGCAGTCCTCTCCCAGTAAACATTCACTGCAGCAGACATGCCCACATACACTCACAGCTAAAGGAAGCCCAAGTTCACGTCCTCCTCCCCACTGTGCACAGACAGGGTTTTCGCTTCACCTGAGGCCAGGGAACACTGCTCTCTGGGGGGCTCAGAGACTTCCTGGCCCGATGGTGGCAAGGCTGTGTGTCTGAGTCACTGCCCAGGGACAGCACTGAGGTAGATCGGGGAGGGCCCCCTGAGCCACTGTCAACGGAGCTTACAGGACTAACGCTGCTGACAGACGAGTACCCTGAGGTTGTGATGTCCTTGCCTGGCTCCCTCTTGTCACAGAGAGGGGGCTCAGGGACTGGGATTCGAGATGTTTGGGTGCTTGATGCTGGGGTATGTGGGTCTTGGCATCCCCCGTCCTCCAGGCAGGCCTCCTCGTCACTCGATTCTTGGCAGCAGTGCTGTTCTGGGTTCAGGTAGACCATGGTGACATCAAGGACACCACTGGGAGCCGTCACTGCAGGAAATGTCCAAGGAGAGGTCATACAACAGCCTCAGCATCAGGGCTATCCCCTGCCTGGCCAGGACCCCAGACGGAAAAGGCTCTGGTACTTGGCCAGGACAATTTAAAACATGCTGGGCTGGGCTGAGCATCCCCAATCTTGCTGTAGTCCCCAGTCACTTCTTGTGTGTAAGAAGCTGGGGAGGATGTGCCTTTGTCAAGTGTGGAGGGCTGCCCACCATGACTCAGAGGACATGAGAAGGTGACAACAAACTGGCCATACAACTCTCTTAATCCTGAGTGGACATGAGAACAAGTAATTGGAAATTCAACAGGAACTCGCCTAAACTCAGCGATGGCATGGGGACCGGGACCCCCTGCAGCCTGCCTGGGGGAATCATGTATACCATGTGGGCACATCTCAATCACTGTTCTAGGAAGATCTCATCATGAACTCCAGACAGGGTCTCTCTCCCCTGCCCTCCCTAGTGAGGTCCTTGTACCAACACAGACGTGTGGCTGGAGCCGGACACAGGTTTGGCCTAAATCCTCTCCTCCCTGTGGAAGGGAAACTGCACCCCCCCCCAAGCTGTGATGTTTTAGGGGCTCTATTCTCGTGCCTCCCGTGTCTGGACACACTCTCCTGCAGGTGAGGATCTGGCACCAGCCATTCCAGGCCCTCTGTTCACACCCTCCTCCCTGCTGGTCACAGCGTTGGGTGCCAGGAGGCGCTGGGGCAAGCCGCCTTCTGCACAATGTCCCTCTAGTGCCCCCCAGCCACACACTCACCATCACCCTCCCTCTCGCCCTCACTCTCCTGGTCACCCTCATAGCCGGAGCAGCAGTCCAGGCTCCAGTCCAGGAAGCTGCCCAGTAGCGTCTCCTCCTGGCTGGACAGCTCCGCGGTGGGGGTGGTGACGAAGCTGCCCCTATCCTCCTGGAGGCTGTTCTCTCGCTTCCTGTGAGGTGGGGAGAGCCGAGGAAACCCGGTCACAGAAGGCAGTGCTGGGAGGCGCAGCCTGGTCTCATGCACCTGCCTCTAACACCTGCATGCCCCTGGGCCCATCACTATGGGTCCCTGAAAGATTTGTTAGGTAGGAAATGCCAACGAAGCCAGAACAGGTGTTAAGCCCTAGAGAGCAGGGGCCTAGCCAGAGGAAGGACGATTCAGACAAAATCATGAGCCCTGGCTCACCCCGGTCAGCTGTGGGACCCTGGACCAACCACTTGGCCCCTTTGGAAACTGGTGGGAGGACGATGCCACCCTCCAGGTGTTGATTATATAAGATGCAGGCAGTGCCAGCACAACTGTCCACCTGGGGTCAGGTCTCGCCAAAAATGTGCAGGAGGCCGGAGCATGGGCCTGTGCCTGAGAGAAGCCGCCACACCTACTGAGCCTTTCTGCTTCCTAACTCCAGGGACCTGGGGCTGAGGAGAGCTACCCTACTGTCATCCATGGGGTCTTTCTCCCAGAAGACTGATGGGGCTTTAGGGATCTCTGGGAAGCAAGTTTAACACAGTGAGGGTGGGCATGTGGGAGGTCAAAGGACCCTACCTCCTGGGTCTTCCTTGTAGATGACCCTGTCCCCAGAAAGTCAGGGGGTTGTTTGCAGCCCTACCAGGAGATGCCCAGGTCAGGTCTCCCACATTCAGCACTCCCTAAGAGTTTAGGAGTCTGCTTCCAGGGGCCCAGTTCTCACAGAACACTCATGGTGGTAGCCCTGCCTGGCTCTGTGTAGTGACAGAGACCACCCGATGTCAGCCTTCAGGAAGCTCACGGGGCACTGAGGAATCAAGAGACAGGGCTGGCAGCATAGAAAAGGCCCTGCTCATCTGGGCTTTGCAAGGTCAATAGGAGTTCTTCAGGTGGGTAAGGTTGAGAGGAAGTTATTCCAGGAGGTATAGCCAGGGCATCGAGACAGGAGAGACAGGGGGTACATGAGAACACACAAGGGAAATGGGGAAAGCCCTGGGGACATTAATCTGGCTGGGAGTGACAGCAACATCATGTAGCACAGTGGCCCGGAGGGCACATGGTGTGCGCAGGCAGGGCCACAGCCTGAGCTGGGCTTGGCCATGCTCTAGACCCCCTTTCCTCACGGGGCTCCAGGTTAAAGCAAGGGAGGCCGCGGCCTCTGAGAAGGAGAACCAGGCTGGAAGCAGCGGAGAGGAGGAACAGGGCCCGAGACCAGACTGCCCGGGTTTAACCTCAGCTTCGTTTTACATGGGATCTGCTGTTGCTCCCCGATAAGCCTCAGGAGACTTTCTGTAAGAGGGGGCAGTGGAGCCCCTCAGAGTGCGGCCGTGTGACAAGGGAGCACGG